ACACAATACGATTGCGTTAATACACATCGACTTTTTTTGTACGTAACTCACATATCATCTTATTAATAGTTATTATTACAAACAACTTTAATTAATAATTAACATTCAACAGCAGTATATACAAAAATGTCTTACTTAATACTATTTTAATCATACTATCGTATTTGCGCATACGTGAAAATATATAACATAAACATAAATAAATAAATAAATAAATAAATATATAAATATATATTTATTTATTTATATTTATATTTTTTTTAAACAATCACAATTGAATTTTAATTTTTACACAATTACGTTGATATATTTACTTTTCGAAAGATATTAAAATATCGTTTGTCGTCACCAAAATAATTATCAAAAATGTGTTATTCTCCGACGATAAAACGATACAACTGTATCCTAATGCTTTGACACAAATTAAACATTAGTGCACTAGGCAAAATAAAAAACAACAATTACCATCAATGTTCGCGGTATACGATAAATCGATCCAAGTATATATATATATATCTTTTCCATTAGCTTAAGAGTTATACAGATCGTTCATTTTGTTATATCACAGTAATCTAAAAATATATAAGTCTAGCATCTTCTGGATTTTGTTCTACTGGACAGTATGGACATTTTAATCTAAAAAACAAAATTCAATTATTATTTCAAAAACTTCAATCTTTCTTTGCGTCTTATTCTTTATTAATTAAAAAGAACTCTTTTATTTATAATAATATTATGTTTTATTACTAAAAAACGTACTTATTTGCATTCGTAAGTTTGTTTAACGCGTCTCTTGAAATAACATGTCCACAGACTAATTTCATTGGTGGATTATTCTCTGTACTTTGTTGCCTTAAAATTGGGCATGCAAAGACAGAATGATAACGACCTTCTTTACCAAGGTCTATTTCAATCTGTGTGGAAAATATCATTTAATATAAATAAAATAATATTGTCTTTTTTAATCGTTATTCTAATTACTATTACTTACAGGTAACTCATCTTTTCCATTCCAAACAGTATTTACTTGTCTTTGTTGCATAACTTGCTTAATATTCAGAAGTGTTGGTAATGCGGTACAACCAGCATTGATACTAAAACAATATTATAAAATTATTCTATTGATTTATGATTTATCAATATAAAAAGCTTACCATACTGAAAGAGGACTATCTACACTTAAGCCAAATAATGTGCAAGCCTCCCTTGTAAATACATCATGAATATCTAACCACAAAGTGGGATCTAATAAATGACTATAAGGGGAGGATTGTATTCCATTTGGTAAATAAAGTAGCGTGCCCATTAAAGCTTGTACTTCTTTCCCATGACGTTCAACATATTGTGTAAGATTTTGACGGGCATAAGTTATTGCTTCTGTTTGTTTACTAGGTCCTTGTTGAATTAATCTTATGAAATGCAACCTATGCAGTTTGAACTCAAGAGATGAATTCTACAAATAATATTCAATTAATGTCAAATATTTGCATTATAATAATATTATAATAATACTCAAAATAGTAGCAATAAATAATATTCAATATACTTGTGCTAAAAGTGCCTCTCTATGTTTTTTTGCCCAATCAAGAGCTGGTTCCAAATTTCTTTGTTTTAAACAATCCAATATATAATTTAATTCTGTAAATGGCTCCTTTGTACCTTCATCTGTTTTAATTCCAGCTTCCTGTAACAGAGATTTATTAAATATATATATATTTTTTTTATAACAAATTAATAGCAAAAATATTCTTACTATTAAATGTGTTATGTAGACTTACCGCTGCTAATTCTGCTGCAATATCTAACATACCATGACGATAAAAATGTTGACAAATGACTTGATTTAAAAGATGTGATTTTTCAGGACCTGAAAAGACATCTTCTCTACTTGTACTTGCAAAATCTGCAGTGAAATTTCTATCAATTGCTTTTCCAACTTTAGAAACAGAACCATGTAACTCTCTATGTTCAGTGGTTAAACGATGCACAGTTTCACATATCTTTTTCATTGTTTCTTTTAATATTTGTATTTGACCTGGCGTTAATTCATGATTGGATGGTGCTATTGAAAAAAAAATTTTGATTCTTTTAAATAAAATAATATATAATTTTAATATTATATTCTATTAAAGCGTTAAAAAATCAAAAAACATAAAAATTAGCGAAAAAAACGTAAATAATTGAAAAATTTTTTTAAATGAAAAAAGATATTGAATAAAATGTTGTAATGAAAGAGGTTAGAATTGGATAGAATAATATGAAGAGGTTAATGAAAAATTTAAACGTTTTTCAGGTTAAATTTTACTAAATCTATACATTCATATTGATACTATAAAAATTGAAATCTTCTAGATCTTTTTTCTTTCTTTTTTGTAATTACTAATAATATCACGATTTCCAAAAGATTTTATTTTTTTACTCATAGATGTCAACGAATAGTGACATTGTAAGTATTGTAAAAGCTTTTAGTATACCTTCTGCAAATTCCTTTTTTAAAGATTCGACATGATTTATGAGATCTTGCAGTACTGTCTCTGCATGTTCGTTTACGACTCCAAATTTTAATAAAATCTTGTCAACTTCACGTTCAACGACATTACACGCCTCCATTATTGTTTTTCTTGGTGATAGCGCGTCACTACTTGTCACTTTTGCTTTATGCACATGTAGATGTATACTTCGTGCGCATACACAAATATATGAATAAGATTAGAATCCAATACCTTTTTAATTCACGTATATTACATACATGTATATTATGTGTTGACTAGCTTCTACATATAAGATATACACATGAATATGTTATATTAATTTATTTTCGTATAAAATATCGATTATTTTTTTATAAAAAAATTTTTAAAATCAATATAAATTTTTTAAATTGAAATATAGATAAAATAAAATTAAAAATTGAAACACATAATATTCAACAATATTTCGTTTGATTATGAATTATTTTTATTAATGTTGCTATTGTTTAATTATTATCACTATTCTTGCTGTTACATAATGATGACAATATGATAACATTTTAAACATTAAAATTGTTATTTAATGTTTTGTATTAAATGAAATTATTTAATTGTTAAGAAATATATTTTATCAGATAGAATAATAATAATATTTGATACTTCTAAAATTTTTAATAAACAACTACTTAAATTGTTTACTTTTATCATGATAATACGATTTCACTAATTACAAAGTTTAATAAAAAAAAATAATTCATCAATAATAAATGATTAATTTCTTCTGTAATTATTGAAGATCAACTGTTACATCTCATCTGTTACGGCAAACTGAACATGGCTCTGTAACAAAAATATTATAAAGATCTATGTTTTCTTTTTCTATGTAATTAATAAGTTTAAAAGAATTGATATTATTATGAAATAAGAAAATATATTTACCCATTCTCGTGCCATCATAAGAATTGTATTTCTAGGTAGTTTTGGTCCAATTAAAGGATTCATTTGAGCCATATAACAACATAACCAGCTATAAAATATATAATAAATTGAGTTTTAATTGAAATATTATTTATAAATTCATTCAAGTGCTTTATTTGATATTTATCAACTTACAACAACCAACATGTAAAAGCTGTCAACATAAGCATAACCTGAAGAATCCTATAAAAGAAATGTTTATAAAAAATTATTATTAAATTTAATATAATTAATAACTTTAGATAATTATATTTATTTCTTTTTTATAACAGAAAAAATATTTGAATAATTAAAATTATTTTTACGTTAATTATAATGGAATTATATGATATACATACCCACGATTAGTACCTTTTGGAACAAAAAAAGGTAAAACAATTCCTATTACTCCCCAAAATATTGTAAAAATTAATATTGGAATCAATGATGCTCCCATTTTATAATAAATAATCTTTCTATATATCAACGGACTAAATCTATTAAGCAATCAATTTATTAAAGTAAACGTGAATCACGTGAATATCTCGATTTCAACAAATGTTAAACTCGAAAATTGCGAGATACGATATATCGCATATATATGCATATTTTCGATATATAATTCGTAATTGATGGACAATCAAAATTAATTAATAATTTGATAATTCAATTCAAAAACATCTTTTTATTAATGAAAATTTTACAAATATATAAAAATTGAATTAGAACTTGAGGTTGCTTAATACATTCTTTCTTAATCTCTTTTCTTCTCTCTCTCTCTCTCTCTCTCTCTCTCTCTCTCTC